GTTGCGCAGTGAATCACTCGCGTCTCCAGCGATGACAGGTGCCCAGAAGGTGGCAACCGTGTCAGAGTCGGCAAATAACACCAAATGCGAGTCCGAGTTGTAGACCTTCAGTCCCAGTAGGGAAAGAGAAGACTTGTAATGACGCAACTCGGTGTGAGCATGGCTCGGAATGAGGAGATATCATAATTCTTTCTGAAAGCACGACCTGTGAGTAGTAAGGCGATTTCATGTTCCTGGGAAGTATCGCCATAGATGAAGAGGATATCTCTGCCATCGATGACACCAGCGAAAAATATTGGTGCTGTGGAATACAACAATTGTGAGGAGCCAAACGCGTAGTTGGTCACGATCACTTTAGACTGTCGTCCACCAAGGATAACCGCTGAAGCGACAATGGGTATCTGAAGGTCACCCTCTGCTGTAGCAACGTTAATCTTGAAGTCGGTGATATCACTATCCGCAAGCGGTGAGCAAGTGGACGGAAAATATTTCAAATTTGAATGAAACCCTTACGTCGAGGTGGAATCGTTATGCCTTACAATGTAGAATCCAGATTGTGTATCAGGGTTGAGGAGGTAAGTCGCAAAGACCGTATCAGACGACAGTATTGAAAGACCCGTGGAGCTGTCAGCAATCCAATCTGTCTTGTAGAATTCCGGCGAGCTTCGGACGAATAGGCCTTGTCTCTTCAGCTCGTCGTATTTTGTCGTCATTGCCGAGATTCATCAATCTGAACCAGTTTGAGTTGTAGTGCACCGGGTTGAAAAAACCTGACTTACGGAGGCGCCGTAGTCGTATGAGGTGTAAACCTTTGCCGAAGTTAGTAGTTTGATTTAAAAAGGCCATCAAGAATTACCCCACTGGTTTAAGAAGTCAATAAGATATGGTAGGAGTAGTTTAGCATAGACAGCTTACTGGAATGGTATTGCTCCCCAAGATGTACCGCTCCAGCATGGCATTAGCCACACACAGTAAAACAATCAATATATTGACAAACCCGTAAAGCATATAGTAACTGAACAACTTCGCATTGCTAGCCCATAGCTGAAGGTAGAAAACAGACATGAAGTCGGTGCCCGTTAGGACGGCGCAAGAAGAATAGCCCAAGATGGCTAGTAAGAAGCCGCTAGTAGAGTACTGCCTTAGCACGTTACCTGGTGCAGCTGGTCCCCAACCATCGACCGCACCTCCCTGGAACTCTGCCCAGTTTAGATTAGCTTAGAGTACGCAGACAAAGAAGCCGTGCGCACCGGGGAAATACCAGGGTTGAGATGGATTGACTTCTTCGTGATATTGATGGTAGTCCAAGGGCACCGCCTGCCAGTCCAAGGGATGAGAGCAATCGAAGCCTTGAGGATAAGAATCGAGTCTAACAAGACAACAATAATAAGTAGAAGATAGTGCTTAAGAAGAAGACAAACTCGTAAAGATCGACAGCACTCTGATTAGAAGCAATTTTGTTAGGATCCACATTTCGAACCTAATCGATGATCACACAAACTCACAGTCCCATTGACGAAGTTGCGACCCTGTCCTGGGTCATTGTAGGTAAGGGGCAATACGATACTTGAATTCTGATAAACTTCTTCAAGCTCAGCAAAATACTCTCCTCCGACACTTTGAGTGAATTCGTTATCTGAAATAGCAGTTCAGCGTCAGTCCTCTTCGAGCTGCAAAAAGAAGCCGACCAATCTGTATAGCTGACAGACGGTGTGATCAGGATAAGGCACATCGAAACACTAACGCACTCACCAATAACTGGCCCTCCTTCGGTAATTTGATACGGCGTTGTTTCTTTGATGATCCCGAGAATATAATCCATCCATGCTTCTCTCCAGTCGGGAGTACTTGTTCGCAGCATTCCAGCTACCTCTGACGTGGCCCAATGTGCTATATCGCCTGCAGAAGTCTCTGCATTGATGTACTAAAAAAAAGGGTAAGCACTTCTCCACACATGAAATTGGAACAATTGACTGGGCCTAGTGATCTCAGTTGAGTGCCCTACAACGACAGAAGAGAACTAGAACGTACCAGGACATAGAGCGATCCATATACCCGCTTCCAAAGCGGCCTCGTATAGCGGCTTCAGCACTCGAAAGCCGTCAAAGTCCACCACACCGCGCGATGGGTTGAGGAGACCCATGTGAACGTAGACACTGACTGCGTTCAGACCCGATGCCTTGACCTTTTGCAAGATGTCGGGCCATAAGGACGGGACAGGTAACCGAAATGTGTGGAATTCCCCGGAGCTACATAATCATCATCAGTACCAGGCACTTCAACTGAATAGAGGATACTCACTGTAAGAAGATCCTTTGACCACGTAGCGACAAACTGTAGTTGTCAAACGAGACTTGGTCGGTGAAAGAAGCCCCAGGACGGTACAAGGTATCGTCATTCTCATGATGAATGGTAGACTTGGCGAGCGCCCCAATATTGCTCCCGTCAAAGAGAACGGAAAGCCACGACCAAAAGAGTAGGGCAATTGTCCATTGTCGAAAGAGATCAGTTGGCATTCTGCGAAAGTCAGAAGAGATGTACATTTTGAGAGATATCTGGTATTATTTTCCACCAAATCATCATCGACGCTTTTTAAGGTGAATCGTGTGCGACCTGTGTTTACACTGGACGGGTCTCGGACTGTCATAGCAACGCGAGTCGAAGCACACAGAATAACATTCGGGGCCGCTTATATCTGCCGGGTAGTCTAGAGACCGATGCTGGGTGAACTGGCTTCTATGCGTACCGAGGATTCTCTGCAAAGTATCGAATTCCTGCTACGTTAGTAGTAGGTCTTGGTTGAGTTTTGAGTCTAATTGCCTTTGCTCGTCTGCGTGAATGTAGGGTCTCAGTTCACACGAAGTTAACCGAGACGCGACCCTGTCCTGAAATTAGCGGCGGGGCCTGACTGTGAGTGGTTATTGCGCGAGTACCGTGCCGAGACACAAAAGAACATGAAACATGAATACAGGAATTACAATAAGAAATGGCCTGAGCAGGGAGACGTTAAAACCAAGCTCAGCCTTGGAAAGTTGCCACTGCATCGGAATAGAAGCTGAATGTTCTAAGTTAAAAATGGATAAGTGTCCGAAGAACCTCGCTAAGTCCGAATCGAAGATAGATGAATGCGGCCATGTAGAGGTAGATTCATCGGAGTTGTGAAAATGCAAGAAAATACACCGGTTCGACGTAGCCGTAGGGGGCACAGACGAGCTCCACTTCAAAGTCGAGACTGTAGCAACCAGTTAATCCTCAGACATCGATAGATCCAAGGACCACACGAGAAAGTGACACCTCACTGGCTAATCAACAGGTTCAATCAGAATGAACGGTTCACCATCCAGAGCAAACGAGGCTTGGCGTTTGTCGAAGGTCCTCAAAACTCGGGGAGGATCAGCAGAGAAATGGAGGTGAGAGAAAGAAGGCAACTCACTGGTATTGCTGTATCAACGAGTATGTGCCCAAGTGCTTCGTCCTACAGGAAGGGCTTCATAGCTAGAGCGATGGCTCAGTTTTTGAAAGACCGCATAAATGTATCAGGCGTTGAGAGGATCGTGGGCTGGCTGGATGCAAACGGGAGCAGGCGGCGAGTTTAATCATCGGACATGTCATTATCTGGTATGGCAGATCTGGTAGCTGGTGGAGGCTGTGAAGACTTATGTAAGATGAGGAAGAGAGAGAAAAATAGACGGCATACTAGCAGGCTCTCTGGAAAGTAGAAGCCGGATGAGGTATAGGGGTACAGTTCACCAGACGGTCGACAGATATTCTTTTCGTCTTGCTCATCAATGTATTACGCATCGTTTGCTCCGCATTGTGTGGGCATACGATCATGATGCGGCATCTACGGTCGGAGTAGGGCGAAAGGAGAACATGCCAGACACTATGAGTATGCAGCGCATGAAGTAGAGAGTGTGATACGACACTGGGAGCCCATTGAGAAGGAAAACGATGATAGTTGATGCGGACGACTCACCGCTATCCCGTCCGCTGATGCCATCGAATGCGTTGTTCTTTCTCAGGGCTGCAGGACTAGGGAGGTACAATTCCAGGAGCACAATATAAATCCTCAAAGTCGAGAGCTGGCTGATACGACGCCAGTTTCAGAGCAATAGAAAAAAAGAAAAAGAGCAATACTCACCAGCACACGGCCACTCCTTGCATCCTACTCACACATCTCTCTACCTTCTTCCATCCTCTGTCTTTCCAAAAAGCATTTGGCCGTAGGTCTCTCCATAATTCCGATGGCGCAAAATCAAGGTTCTTAGGTAAAGCAACATGGACGAGCGGAGAGAAGATGGGGTTCCCAAAAACGGAAGCCTAATGCGTACCACGTGATTATACGACAGACGCGTCGACTTGATAAGTCGATTCCGTGTTGTAGACATAACCTCTCAGATTTTGCACTCTATCGAGAACTCCAGGATGAGTGACAGAAGGGAAAATCCCAGATAATATTAATAGTGTTGTTCTGAAGGTTGTCCGAGCATCAACGTCCGACGCTCGTCTAGATCCTAAAGGTCGAAGCTAATTCTAACATATATTCTTTCAATCCATACAAATATGGATGGAATAAATCAAGCTTGAATGAAGAATGGACCTCCCTGTCGCAAAAATATGTACACAAGGACCACCGATATTACATATGGCAACAGACGGAGTCGAACCGTGACTGCTACCAGCTCTCAATCGACAGGTCCACTATTTGGGAACAACGTAGTTCTGGTCATAATACAGGAAGAAGGAGGTTGTGCTTATTGGATATTACGAGGAGAAATGAGTATGAGAGTCAAAATAAAGCTATTCAGCACTGGGAGACGAGGACTTGAATGGGCACAGATCGGCACCCCTTTCAAGTCAAGGATCCACATTCACAAAAAGAACAGTGTTATGATGGTTATAGATCAGAAAGAACGCTAGCCCAACTTGACAACAACGATAGTACAGCATGCGCACCATTAAGCCCTCGATGTATCCTTTCATATACCACTACCTTCCATGCTAAGGTAGATCAATGGTAGATCGCATCTTGGACGTATCCACTCAGAGGGAATGTTCAGGATGAGACCATGGTTCGAATCCATGTCATGGCAGTTATATTACTGATAGTGGTATTCATTGTGTTTTCTGAAAAGCAAAGTCGAAACATTTTCAGAGTACGTTTTCCGCCCCGAACACGAAGAACAGTCCTAGTGTTGTTACCTAGTTCTAGAGTGGCAGAATCATTTCTGTTTGCAGCAAGTTGGCAAGGTTGTCTTGAGTTTGAGCATTGGTTCTGATTTCTGATTTTTACTGGGCTATTATTAACATTATCGTCAAGCCTCACCCGTATTTTTATACTTCGAGCTTGTCTTTATAATGACTTCGGGTCCTCTATACTCCCACCAAGCTGCAGGTTCGAGTTCGAACGCAAATAACAGTGGATGTGTTTCCCTGTCTTTCTCTTCTATGTGGTCATCTCTCGTGGCCGAACTCGCTTAAAACTCAACCGTCATTGACGCCTCAAATTCAAAACTGCTCGCAGTCATAAACCACGAAAACATGCATCCCCTCGCACTTGTCATTATACAGATCCAGAACATGTCACAACTCCTAAGATAGCGAATTAACAATGATAACAAGTGCGGTAGCAGTGAACTATAGCCTACAATATCAAAGAGTAATTCACGCAGAAAGCGAGGGAATCGGACCTAGTACGTCTACAAGCATATCAGCGCCCCGTAGTTTCATGAAACCGAAACCACCCTCGTATGAATCAAAATTCCGGCTATCCAATAAACGTCGCAGCAACGATAACGAGATACGGAATCACGCACGCAGAGTTGCGCACTTAGGTTACAAGATGTATCGAAATTTCCTAAGGATCTCCGATAGGCTCGTCCCCATGGCCATGCGCATTCTTTGTATAGATCCTGTCGAAATATGCATAACACCTCTTTAATTGTCCGAATGCACTGAAGGAACGACCACAGAGGCCTCTCCCGGAAACGGCTTGGCATCCAGGCATGGCTACCACAGAAAAGGACGCGACAGAAGGAATTAGCGACTCACTTCGTCATCTTCGTTTCGACGTATCCTGGACATGCAGATGATCCTTCCTGGCGGAAATTGTTAGTGATCACATCGTATAAAATGACTGAAAAGAACAGGATGACTCGCTAGCATACGCTCTGGATGGAAAGGTAGAGAGCTGCTTACCTCGAAATTCCAGAGTATACGCGCCAGATAGCAGAGCTGTAAACACAATAGTATACACCTGGTCACCATGTCATGGATGGGAAAACACGAGCGACTAAGATGTTCTCTATGAGAAGGCCAGGAAAAGAAGGAACGACGCCTACAGTTGTTCCTTGACGTTCTCGTCCACATACGAGCTGAGATGGAGAGCTAGAGAGTCCTGGTCGTCAGAGCAGACTGAAGTGGTGCAATACAAGTTATGGATGTTGACAGGAACACGAAAACTGTCTGTAGGCATGGGATCCCAGCATACAGTGTTATCGTGCGGCGACTGTAAAGAGGCAATCTCAACAAGCAGGAAAGCAGTAGAATGACCGAATGCTTACAGTTATCCTTGGCAAGTTCAACTTACACGACCATTGACATCTCGATGCTATGTCAATTTCAGAGCAATAAAGAGAGAAAAAAGACGAGTTATTAGCTCGCATATCCTCCACCGGTTCGAGCATCTCTCAGCCTCTTTCAGGCATTTGTCTTGCAAATTTCACGCAACGGTACGCATTTCGAAGACTTGGGACGTGGGCCGAAACGTTCATAGACAAACAGTGTGGTGGGTTGTGGAGGGAAAGACGAGGTTCCCAAAATGGAAGGCTTAGCAGAGCAAGGTCCCGTGCTCCACGTGACTGAGACGCGACGCGTCGACCCCCCTCTCACTAGTACTTAATAATAACAACCGGTCTTCCTAAATAAATGCTGCTCACGACTGAGATATAACTCCAATGGAAACTGCCCTGGAAACCAAGGCGTCTTTCCATTGTACATCGAGGCTCAAATTCGAGAAGGACACCCAGTCCCCATCCAAATTTCCAGCCAGAACTGATTATAAGCAGCTAAATCACTCTGAATGAGACAAGGGTAGGTCATAGAGACGCGTTGTTTCAGGGGAGAAAAAGATGTCCTAGATGGATGAAGAATGAATGGCAACAGGCGGGGTCGAACCATGACTATTGCTGTTGTTGACAGTTTCACGAGATGGGAGCGGGAAATTGGGGAACCCAGACATACAAGAGCTGATTTATCGTCGTTGACTATCTAAACTTCCGAAGACAAGTATTGCTGAATAATAGAATTTTAGTCCTCGGATCTCAGACTTGGACGCAGAGAAGCACACAAAAATAATAGAAGTGTAGTGGTGGTTTTCAGAGAAAACCGAATAATGCCAACTTGTGCAAGTTGATAACACAGCAAGGTGTGGGCAGTTGTTGGTCATTTCCTTTCACTAGTCATATACTATACAGTTTTCCATGCCATGATGGATCAATGGTAGATCATCTGTAAATTCTATACTGTACAGGAGAAATCCACGGTTTGAGCCCGTGTTGTGGCAATGAAAATAGACGTCAGATGGATGCTTTTTCATTTATCGGTCTGGAGTCCCACCCCAACAGTAGAATCATGCATCATGAGGTGTAATCATTCCTTCTGCTTGTTCTCCAGGTTTCTAGTAACCTTATCCCCAATACTTGCTGCATTTCTCACCTTTGTCTTCAAATAGTTCCGTCTTTTCCTCTCAAAGCTTCGGTTCGAAAGATGTCGTGTAACGGCAATGATCCCCCACCTTTCAATTTTCTACCATTATATCCATTCAGGCTGCACATGAGTTGGCACGAAAATCCTGCACGGATCAGCATGGTGTCATTAATCTGAATCCGAGAGAGCTTTAGAAATCTTTCACGTCTATTGCCTGATAGAGTTTTTGGAGACCAGACGACGCTTATGAACAAGAGCCTGACATCATTAACAAATCCGGATTTTGAATACTCAACAAGGTCGTGATATATCGCATGCTGTATTGTCTTTATTTTATGTGATTCAAGCTCAAGGTTTGAGCGTCGCGGGTGTGGATTAGTAGTTGGACGTTCCACCAATCTTTGGTTCGAGCCCGTGTGCTCATACTATATCTGGTGGTTCGATTTTCGAATGAGGGATTGCGGGTTGCCGAGTTTCTGCCTGGATCTTATCCTTGCTGCTGCGAGAATATGCGCCCGAGCCGGAATTAATAAAGGAGAAAATGAAGCCCTTCTTAACATGATAACGATGCATGTCTTCCATTCGATGACAGCTCTAACTTCCATGTATTCTCATGATCGATATGGTCCTCTGGAACCGTTGTCGCAGTATACATCAAAGCGGACGTAGACGTTATGCAAGGTCGTGAGTCGCTTGCTGTTTGGCCGGGTGTGAAATGGGATTGAGTACGTAGAGAGGATGTAATATATCTAGAGATATAATCAGTACACACAATGGAAAGACCACTTACAGGGCTCGAAGGAGAAGGCTCGGGGCTCGCTCAATGGCTCGGTGCTCGTGGTATAAGGCAAAGAAAAGTAAAAATCAAATTTAGATGTCAATCGAATACAAATGTGAAAGAGGGGGTAGCCACACATGTTCTCTCGCATCGCCAGAGCCCGTAATTGATAGCCTCATGTATGTAGATATATTCTATAACAAAATGTGTCAGAAGAAAGCGAATACCTAGCTCAGTTACCTCGGCCACAAGCAAGACTAAACCACCTGGGATACGCGCAACTACAGCATAGGAAGAGATGCTGCCCTGCTCAGCATACGCACAGTGGCCCATGCCATCGTTTCTCGATTCCCAGCATGCTCCGAGGTGATGTCGTCCGCCGTTGGCATTGGTCTTCACGTCGGATGGGGTAGGGAGGGGATTGATGATGAAACTCAAAGAAAGGAAATTAGAAACGGAATATGAAGACAAAATGAACCAATATATCTATACAACGTTCATACAACCAGTACCAATCCTTCCGCCAGCATTCGAAACAGCTCTTTGTTGGTGAGGCGAGCTACCTCAACGTTGGTGTCTTGGTCTTGAGCATTGATGCCCAAAAGGTAAAGGTGTCGGAAAGCATGCTCATTGGTCCTAGAGCTATGCAGTGTCGCGTTGAGAAGAATATGGAGCTGTGAAAGAGAAAAGCCGTGAAAGAAATAGAGATGATGGTGGAAGAGAAGGAAAGACACGTAGCAAACTGAAAATGGAAGTATGAGTCAGCTGGCCCAAGACGATGAGTCTATGAGCACGGCAACTCATACTACCACACCGTGGATCGGATTATATCAAGAAATAGATCTTCATGAACCATTGATCAGTAACTGAAATGAAGAATCAATTACATTGTGACCCATGCATCTTATACATGCCGAGGATCATCGCATTATCCGATTCCTGACCCTCAGGCTATCGCCCCATTAACATGCAAGCCTTCAAGCTCCGAACATGCAAAAGACGAACCTAGTCATACTGAAAATGTATCATCATGTCCTTCTTTCTACTTCATTCCGTGAGATGGAAATAGGATGAATCGCCCTGAGGACTTGCCATATATGTGCTCGACGCTATGTTGATGCTGACACCATCAGTTTGTGCCCTGATTCCTGTATTTGAATATCGTATCTGAGTATCTTTACGGAAAAACATGCTTATGGAATCAAGTCCTATGACTCACAGGGATATCCAACTGGTGGGGAAGCATTAGAGTATTGACTTGTGGAAACAAGTCATTTGTTCTCACTTCAGCGAGGACCCCAGTCATCCAGTATTGGCAAGATGGGAGTGACATCCTTAGAGTAATACATGTAGGATGGTCAGAAAGCAACTGGTCATAAGGGAATGTCAGCTTACATTAGTAAGATTGTGCATATTCCTTCTCCTGAATTACAGGTCCCTCCATCTCCCTATCACATCTTGGCTTCTTGTCTGTATCCCTGGCAAAGCATTCTCCAGGATTTCTATTTTATCGTGCATTCCGCCTCCCTCCACTGTTCCACTGCTCTTATTGAAGCTTAAGATTCCCACCAATAGTAACAGCACAAGCTCTTTGTTGGATAAAAGACA